CACTCGAATTCTTCTGACTCAAGCTGTTTCAGATTCTTTCGGCCTCTTGAGTCGTAGCAGTGCCTGTACATAGACAGGTAGCATTATGAGTTTAAATCAACACTCCTTTGTGGCTTTGCTACAATTTATTCTGTGCAGTTTCCGGAATTTTTTGCGTCAGCCATTCAAGGAATAGCTCATCGATCGTCCGCTTTTATATATTAAGTACAAAAATGTAGCACTGGAGCAATTGGTCATTAAGTTGCTTTGCAGGCTGAAAGGAGGATTTAATCGCAGCGCGCGATGCAAATTTTCATTTATTAACTCACTTCCCCTGAGCAAAGAAATCACTCCGTTGTCCTCCGTGCAACCACCCAAAAAAACGGTTACATGTTGCTGACTTGTGAATAGGGACAGCTTGGACATGCCAAAGCGAGCGAGACATACGGCCATACTGTCTGATGCAGGCACTTTGCAGTGGCAGTTCGTTTTTACCTACCTGATAGTTGACTTCATGTCAGCAGGTGTAAACGCAAATTTTGAAATATAAACCGCGGCAATTGCAACCTCCCGGTCACCTAAGTAACTGGTCGATATTGAACGTCCTACGTTACTTGCATGCGTACTCCATCAATACCCTTGAGCCATACAATTGGCGTCGTAAAGCCCATTTTTGCAGCTTGCAGTAGCAACCATATTTCCAGTCATTATTTACGATTGGTGATAACAGGCAGACTACCAAAAATTGACGTGATCACAACCAGCGGTTTGCTGAAATGGTATGTAATTTCGCGATGTGTAACTTAGGTTTTGCTCCAATTGGACAGTTGTCAATCTGTTTGTATTTCTAACAAAAAATAAATTCGTTTCGACCCGTTCTTGGCATCCACTTGAACGGAGAACTCATCCGGCCTTAGAGGAATTTGCAAAAGAACCGCATTTTCCTGCAGAACTTCGGTCATCCAGGCATGATCTGAAGGTATTTATATGGGCGTTATTGTTCTCGCTTGGAATCCAGTCAAATGTTTCTCTGATCGGTTTTTTAGCAATGACCTGCGCCCGTTAATAATTTACCGTTTCCCTTGGGCAATGACATCGCAGACTCCTGCACGTGTTGTTCCTTTCCTTTCTATAAAGAAACCTCAAGCTCTCTGTGGTCATTCCGCGTGATTTGTACATGAGCAAAATCGCACACGAGATCTGATTACAGAAATAAATTTATTCACACTTTACAGCGCAAACAAAACAAATGAGACAAAATAAAGATCAGAAATAACCTGTGCAAAGCTTTTCAGTAACTGATGAATGAACGAACAACTTCACACCTTGAATTCGAGGCACGAACGGCAAAGCATGTCAGAAACTTTATTGTTACTTTTGGTCTTCGTCCGTTTCCATGTTAATGTCAGGACTGTAACTGGGACTTGAAGGACTGTATTCCGGACTGGATGGAGAATAGTTCGGTGACGTCGGCGAATATGTTGGGCTCTGTGGACTGTACAACGGACTAGCCGGACTGTATTGCGGCGAAGATGGACTATAAAGAGGAGATGCACTCTGCGCATTAGCTGGTGAATACTGAGGACTGGAAGGACTGTACAACGGCGAAGAAGGGCTATACTGTGGACTTGACGGACTATACCGCGGCGAAGATGGACTGTACCGCGGAGATGATGGGCTGTACTGTGGTGATGACGGACTGTACTGTGGTGACGAAGGTGAATATCGTGGACTCGAGGGACTGTAAGCTGGAGCTGAAGGACTGTACTTCGGACTCGATGGCGAATACGAAGGACTGCTCGGCGAGTACGTCGGACTGGGCGGGCTGTATTTCACAGGATCAGGAGAATAGCGAGGAGAAGCCGGCGAATAACTTGGACTGCTCGGTGAATAAGCAGGGCTTGTCGGAGAGTACGTCGGCGAATTTGGACTGTAGCTCGGCGATGTTGGGCTAAAATCACGTCATGAAGAAGTTAAAAATAACTCCGTATGTTTATTAATACCTATAGCTGGGACTCGTAGGGCTATATCGAGGAGATGTTGGAGAATATCCAGGACTGGTCGGCGAATAACTCGGTGATGTCGGTGAATAACTTGGTGACGTAGGACTGTAGCTGGGCGACGTTGGTGAGTAACTTGGGCTTGTCGGTGAATAGCTCGGTGACGTAGGACTGTAGCTTGGTGAAGTCGGACTAGAATGCAATAAACTATTTTAAAAGTAAGAGACAAAATATCTTTTACCTGTAACTTGGACTTGTGGGCGAATAACTCGGCGATGTCGGGCTGTAGCTCGGCGACGTCGGACTGTAGCTTGGGGAAGCCGGTGAATAGCTGGGACTCGTTGGGCTGTACTTTGGTGATGTTGGTGAGTACCTCAGGCTAACATTTACTGCCGGTGAACCCGGTGAATATGCCGGCGAACTTGGTGAGTACAAACCTCCAGGCGACATCGGTGACAAAACCCCAGGACTAGACGGTCCCAAAGAACCGTGCGGCGAACCTGGAGACCAGCCAGGCGAATAGGCCGGGCTAAAGCTACTATCGGACTGGGCAGACGGAGAAAACGCCGGTCCTCCTGGAGTAATGTCCGAATGAGGTACTGGAGACCAACCACCTGCATAAGCTGGCGTGGCTCCGGAGCTCCAAGGCGTTGAAATTGGTGCCATATTTGGACTCGCTCCACCAGCAAAGAACATGTTGCTGCCTCCTACAAACAAAAAATTGTTGAATAAAAAAGCAAACTTGTGAACAGCCGCGAAAAGTCGATGCACGTACCGAAAGGAGCGATTATGTTTGTCGGAATTTCCATGCCAAGTTTGCATTTCTCCGCGTCTAGCGTCAATTCAAATGCGCCGGTCCCTATGTGAGGCAGCTGTCCGAGCATTATGTTTTCAGATACGCCTTTTAAAAAGTCGGTTTCACCATGGCTCGCTGCTTCCGACAAAATATCAACCTGCAAATAAACAAATTGAAAAAGAAGCAATATTGCAACAATGCACAAGGATTATCACTACTAACCGTCTCTTCAAAGCTGCAACGCATCAAAGCGCCAACCTCTTGCCGATTTATACCGTGCCTCGTAATCGCCATCAAAGTACCTAAACGAAACAGGATGATGACATGAACTGGGGGTACGC